AAATAATTTGGACTTTAAGTCAGGGAAGGTGCAAATTTGCACCTCATCAACATGTTTTTTCTGTAATGTTGTCCTGATTTCCAGCCCTTTCCACACCTGTTTTTCAATGTTTGTTGCATCGATCACTCTGTTGCGTTTTAAATGAAAATATGATTCATGCAGAGGTTTTAAAGATATCAATTTTGAATGACCAAAATTTAGCTGAAAACAATGGATCACATGAGTTTTCCCTATGGGAAAATAACATGGGAAATACATGTACTGTTTTCCACTTTATCCCAAATAAATCATATTTTAGAGGTTAGCTGTGTCTCAAAACTGTGTCTCAAGTGCAACATATTGGTGCATCAAACATTGAAAAAACATATGTGGAAAGGGCTAAAAATCAGGACAACATTTCAGAAAAACCTTCCCTGTCTCAAAGTCCAAATTATTTTATTACCTCGATGAGTGCTTGATCTGGAGGTAATGCATTGGCCTAACATATTCATCTGTTCAAATCCCCAATAAATAGCCGAAATCCAACATATGACAGTTTGAAGACCAAATAAAAACCTTTTGCTATATTATGCTATATTAGCATTGTGATGCTTGTATTAAAACATGCGCTGTATGAACACTTTATACTCAAATATTTTAATGATTTATCCCACATACCCCGAAACACGAGTAGCCATAGTGACCATATTTTTCATCAAAGTTAAGATGAGTCAACGTCGCCAACGTGCAAATGCCAATGTTTTTGCTATAAATCAAGCAACAATGGTCTGTACGACCTGTAATAAATATATAAGCAACGTTTTTATCACAAAATTCTTTGCCGGTTTTTTAAAATAATTTTCTAAATGATAAATAAAAAATAATCGAATAATTGAACGGAGGGGGGGGGAGTGAATGGAGGGGGAAGAAATTTCCACAAATTCGTGTACTTGAAAGATGAACTCACTTACTCAGTAACTTGATGTTACAACTGTAAAAAATGGGGTCATATGGAGTTAATGGAAGTTTTCATATGTCTTATAGACACATTACTCCCCCCTTAGTTCAATTTTAATAACGTTCGATTACTTTTTATATAACGTATGGTAACGTGTTTTACAAAACCAATGATGACAATAGTTTTGTGATAATTAATTACTTCACTTACAAGTATTTATTACAGGTCGTGTAGACCCTTGTTGGTTGATTTATAGCAAAAAATTGGCATTTGCACGTTGTCGACGCTGCACTTTTTTAATAGATCTTTTATTTTAGAACTCCACAGTTCAAAAAAATCCAAGAAGACCTAACATATTCCCCCGTCCACTGCGTCTATTCATTTAGCCATTCAATTGTAAACTTTCTCTTGAAAAAATAAATCTTCAAGATTTGTTGAATTTTCTACCAAAAACCAGCTAGATCTACCCCCCTCCGTTCATTTCTTCTGATCATCCGGTGTGATTCTTATTTGAGACCATATTTAACACCTCCTGTGAAAATTTGAATGAAAAGGGCACAAAACTCTTAGTTTGAGAAGGATTTTTTCTAAACTTACAGTATTGATTGACCTGGAATGTGGAACCAATTAGAGAGACTACTTTTCCATGTTTTTCCAACACGGTTACAGTAAGAGAGTTGGCACAATGGGGAACTTTAGGGTGCACTTTCTTCATAATTAGCCTTTTTTAATTCTAGATACCATATACCATATTTTCTATTATACCATATACCATATTTTTTACACCTCTTATACCATATACGATAAATTTTGCCCCCTCTTATACAATATACAATAAATTTTCAGCCTCTTATACGATATACAATATCTCTATACACCCCCCCCCCTTAAAATGAGATTCCCTGTATTCTCTAAGCTTGTGACTATAGCAAAGCCAATACAAGTGATTAATTTCATTAAACATTGATGATTGAGCGATAGAGCAAGCCCAAGAATTCTAGAAAAAAATGTGTACATAATTGCCGGACCTCAGAGAACAAACTTCCGGCTTGTTATTCATAATAAAAAAGCGCTCCATCGGGGAATCGAACCCACGCCGGAAAAGTGAAAGGCGAACTCCCTAACCACTATACCAGAGTGTTTTTTCATGATTAAGCTAAATTTTTTGCAACTTTATAGTGATATACATGTGTGAAATTTTTAAGTAGCATTCTTGGTTGAAAAACTTTCGAGAGTGTTGTTTTATTGTTTAGATGACGAAAACTTCAATAAAAAACAATATAAGCACGGATTATAAACATAAAGGCTCTCTAGCCAAAACACTATGTTCATAGCTAAATAGCCTTAAATTTTAAGGCTCTTTAGCATTTTGGCTAAAGAGCCTTAAATTTTAAGGTACTCCAGACACTTCGAATAATAAAACCAATGTCATACAATAAGAACTTTATAAAAATAAAGATTCCATGAAAAGTACTAAAATAGATGTAGAAATAGGTTGATAATACGTTGATTACGGTGTTGCCCTTTGTGTTCTCTGATTTAGAATGACAAAACGTCACAAATCACAATATAAATGAATAAATAAGAGGCCGTTCGCAAAGTTACGAAAGGGTCAGAGGTGGTATTAAATCTACGAACGAAAACAGGCATGACGTCACTATTTTCGTAAATTTACGAATCGTTCGTAACTTTATGAATCTTACGAAAATGCAACTTTGCGAAATTCGCAAATTAAACAATGGACTTACGAACGTTCGTTACTACGAACGGTACAAAACGGGGCCCTGGGGATTATGGTCCCCTTTCTAAACGGCCCTTACTGGCCCTGATTGTGTACAGGCGCGTATCGTGGTCATTTTGCAAGGGTACGCCCCCGTATGTGGATGAATAATGTGTGAAGATGAATGCGATTTTTGGCGTATGATTTTTCGTGCAGACCTACCATAGGTTCTGGCAGCACCAACAGTCGTAGTTTTATCTTTGTCTCTAAGAGAATATTTATAAATGAACACATATCGATCCATGCCATCTTTATATAAAAATTATTTCTCTTTAGACTATTAAAAATTATTTCTATCGACCTTTGCCTATTTGACCTACTGTACTTATACTGTACACCATTTTAATGTCATAATTTTCATCACCTGAATTTTGCGAAAATGCAAAATTGCAAAATTGATGTGTTTACAACCCAGGGTTGCCCACATACCAGAGTTATTGAGCACCATGGGAATGTGTCGTCTTGACTCCCCTGCCCCTGGTTGCTATAGTGACTAATGAGAAATTTTGCCAGAGAGCTAAGTCTCTTCAAAAAATAAAAACACTACACCAGACGAAAATAGAGAAAGTCGTCTGCACAAGGTCGTGCGAATTTGGAAATGCTCTACACATAAGGGCTTTTATTGGCTTAATCAATGTAGTTAAAGCTAAATCCAGTTATCGTACGGTTTAAATGATTAAATTACTTCTCACATTCAATAATTTCTAGTGATACTCAGGTTTATACGTACTGAATTTGCTGATTTTGAGCGTGTACTCTGCCGGGATTCGCCATCATACCCCATACGGTCTTTGACGCAACTCTTTGAATCACGAAAAAATTTGAATCTTTGAATCACGAAAACAGTGAATGACAATGAGGGAATCGAGAACTTATTGTTAATACACTTGTACAACAAAGGTTTACACATCATCAAAGAAAATAACAGTAAAATACTGAATTTCATGTTTTTTTCAAAATATTTTTTCAAATTCAAACAGGGGGAACATGGGGCAAAACGGCCCTCTGGGGCAAAGTGGCCCATCGAAATATCTTTTGAACTATAAAAAGATGGTTCTTCAAAAGTCACAAAATCGAATTTTGAAATATCTGCCACCTTCTCGACCGTCCATTTTTAACCAAGCAGCGTCTCGCTTTACGTAAGAGGTAATTCTACTTTTCACCCTCTTTTTTGGAAATTACCCCTCTCACGAGAATCTCTAAAAAATCCGGCAACAATAGAATATCGTTTTGATTTAACATTTTACATAGAGTGTGCACATTTATTCTTTATTTGTAAAAATTTCGAGCTTCAAATATTAGGCAAATTAAAATGACGTCTATTTGAAAATTCACATGTCTTTGGGGCAAAACGGCCCACACATGTTATAACATACAAAAATCTTATTGTGCAAGAACAATTGGTTTTCAAATGTAACAATTTTAACATCTGGCTTGTGCCTTATTTCCTTCCGACACATATCGAATGACTAGAATTATGGTAGGGGTTAAGAATACTTTATCTATCAAAGGTTTGAACGTCTGAGATAAGATGTTTGTGGACGAGTCTTGTAATTGATTAATTTTGGTTTCAAAACCCATGTAACAGAGGGTGGGCCGTTTTGCCCCACCCATGGGCCGTTTTGCCCCACTCTCGACAATATTTTTGACCATTAAAAAATCACAGAAGATAGTCCTAAGATAGTATAAAACACTCGAAAAATGTAAACCACAAACCATTAATAAAGTGGAACATCAAAGTGCGCGATGATTGACAGATACGAAAATACCCCGTACAGAACAACTTAAAATCAAATTTTTTGGGCCGCTTTGCCCCATGTTCCCTTACGCCTGGGCGTATTTTGCGTACATGACGATACGCGCCTGGTGTATAAGATAATAAGGGAAAGAGTTGTATTTAGGTCACCATAGGACCTCCTACCCTTTTACACCGGTGTAAAAGGGTAGCCTAGGTGGTCCTATCAAATTTTGGTCCTACTCTCTATTGATTTATATGGTGACCTAATTACAATTATTTTCCTCATTATTTATACACAGTCAGGGCCAGTAAGGGCCGTAAGTAAAGGGGACCATAATCCCCAGGGGACCATAATTTCTTTTACACCGGCCTAGGCCCACATAGGGCCTTGGCCCTTGGTCTGTCTAGACGAACTACCCACAGGTGGAACCGCCTTAGCCGTACAACAAATGATTGGGTCTTACCTCCGTTTTACCAAAATGAAATTCTCGCAGCTCTTGCTGCTTTACCTTTTTGATATATACCGGAGTGAAAAATAGGTGGCAGTAAAATCGTCCGACATGTTGGAAAATAAAGTTGAAAAGTGACAAACACTGAATAAAAATGTGATATTTGGTAAGTTATTCGAAACCTATCGACTATCAGCAGCAATCATAAGAATCTTGAATAAATTAACTTTAATTTGGACATGGTTATCATCGTTCGCAACTGCCGACATGTTATTATTTGAAGGAAATGTCAAGACAAATGATTTTATTTTTTGTCCCGACAGTAAAATATAAATGTTTGGAACTACTTTGAATTTAAACGAGATCATTTTAATTTACCGAACAGCAAAAGTAGAAAAAATCCGAACATTTTGAACTGATTAAGATCTTTAAATTGTGAAGGTCTGAGTACCTGGACCACTTAGAAAACATCCAAACATATCAAAAAGTGAAGATGGGTCAATTTTATTCTCGTTCTTCGAAGATATTATTAATATTATTTATGTTATCCTTTCTGATGTTTTGTCTTAGAAGGTGTTAACTAAACCTAGATGTTGCCAGAGGAGTCGCACTTCTACCCATTACACTATATTTATTAACCATCACCTTCTGTAATTTAAAGCACCCAGGCAGGGTTAATGTCGTTTTGGTAAACTAAGGCCCTCTTACAAGAACAAGCTTTTATCCTAATAATGACACCGACATCACTTCCTTTCCTACCTGAGTGCTTGATATTGTAGGCTATTCAGCCAATACCTACCTACGGCCCCTTTCTTGTGAGGCCAATCCGCCCCCAACTAATATTATTAATAAAATAGTTAAATGTTCGGAGCTTTTTTAATGCTGTAAATATATTGTTCACAATTCTAAATCAAGAAGTTGCTCGTATTTCTGTCGTATTTAGGAAATCATGTTGCCACAAATCAGTGCACAGTGTTCATAGTGTTGTTGTAAAATTGTGTATATGTCGTTTGAAACCCTCTCTAATGCAATTTTATCATAAACTAACATCTTAGGGTTAAACTTTTGCTCGAGGAAATAACTCATTTTCATCAATAAATATTAACCCATCAGGTTTTCTACTAGTAAACTAACGTTTAAACCTCAGTCCATTGTCGTTATCTTACTACTCAACCCAACTGAGATATGGCTCTTGCCTCAGCACGAGCCAAAAATAAGCAATCAAATGACTATATTGCAACAATATATAAAAAATAGAAACATATGTACTTGTCCTAACTTTTGTATATTTCAGATAGTTATATATAATGTGCAGTAAAGCTGTTGCCTTTTGTAATTTAGGGAGTTTCAGCCATGTTAATTTTTTCGCAAAATAACATGGCAGAGAAGCATCAAAATATGAGGCCACAGATATGATAGCTAAACTACAAAACTACAAAACCATTATTATTTTTTAAATTCAAAGTAGTTCCAACATCATTTAGATTGATTGATCAATCTAAAGATGGCTATGTGCAAATAAAGTAAGCCTAGGCTAACCTAAAACTCAATTAGCCTAAAATGTTCATATAGAGTCTATCGTTGATTAGGCTCTGGGCGTTTATTTATATATCTGAGATTTGTCCTTGGCCCAGAGGTGCATTAGCAGTCATATTAAATTTGGCTAAGTTGAGAATTCGCAAAAAATCCAAATCTGTAGTTTTTGCTTTTTTGTCTGAATTCCTTATCTTACAGTCTGTAAAACTGCTTCAAAGGCAAGCAGTTAAATCTGAAATATAAGAAATATACTATTGTGCAATAATATATGTGTAGGATATCCTATGATTTTTAGAGATATCATGAGCGTAGCGAATGAGTGCATATTATATCAACGAGTGGATTAGCATTAGGAGCAAATTTGCTACCTGATTTCACATTTTGCTCCAAAAACTTCGCGGCCTGGAGCAAATGCTTGCTACCTCAAATTTATGCAATGAATCTCATGTATTTCAACCCTTCTATCACATAGAATCAATGGAACTTACCACTCCGGACTCCCAATATTTTTTCATGTTTCTGATAGCGATAAACAACCTCAACGCTGATTAGTTGATACGGATCCCATAATAAAAAAAATAAAACAATACCACTGATTGGACTTTACTCGCTTTAGCGAAACAGAAACAGAATTTCTTGCCGAAAAAATGTCGCCTGCACAAAATCGTTGCAATTCACATCTAACAGGTAAACATAACATGTTTCATCGATGAATACGCTATAATTTGTTTCCCTCCCAATTGATTATACTACCTTTATTAGAATAAGATGATTCATTCTCCCATTTTCAATGAAAACATGAGGATTTTGGAATGGAAAATGGTCGTTTCGTTCAGTGCATAATGGCGAGCAATAATCAGGGATTTGTTATAAGACATGATTACAGATATTAGTCTAATGAAAAATGAGAAAAATTAGTTTTTTATCAGTCTAATGCACAGTTCTTTATTTAAACATGCACAATCCTTAATTTGCTACCTGATAATGTTTTCTTGGAGCGTTTTTGTTGCTACCTGAATATGGCAATTTGCTCCTTGTTTTTGTAGAAGGTAGCAAATCTTTGCTACTGGTAAAAAAAGTTAAGGTCAGACCCTGAACATTCAGTTGTATTTTGTCATTTGAACTGTCAAAACATTAATCATTTTCATATTTGTGACGTCATGAAATTACCATGTAAGCTCATGAAACAATGTACGTCACATTTGCGGGAGTTTTCAAATCCGTGGAAAAAAGTGATATCTGTGGAATATTTTCCATATTCCACAGATATCGCTTTTTTCCACGCATTTGCAAAATATCATAAATATATATACATGTACATGTTATTCTACAGATTTGACCTCAGCTATGGGATAAAGAAAAATATATTCATATTGCACACGAATGACATGACCCACCACTGCATATTATAGTTTCACTCTAAACAAACTAAAGTAATTGCTTTCACTTGACGCTAGATGTCACTTAGGATAGTACTACCCTACCCCAAGTGTCATCTTTGCTATCTCGTTCACTCCACCATAGGATTAGGAAAGGAAATCATGTGTTCCTATCACGATGATAGCATTAACTATATTGCCCGGAAAACAGATCATTTTAACAGGAGACTTTATGAACTGGACACCCTGTACATGTATATTTCTTGTAGATATCACTGAACTGTAATATACAGCTATGGATTTTAGGTTCAGCCACCGTGCAATACAATGGGACGTAAACGAGACAGACATGTGGGCAAAAGAAGAACAGTCTTGCAATTGGCCGATGACCCATTTGAGAGGGATCCCAAAAGTAAGCTTTATTAATTATAATTTTACATTAATTTCATATGTACAATATTATCATGTTCACAAAATTGTTCATGAATAACACTATCTGCATCCTGATTGTTGTGATTATAACAAATATATAGTTCTATATTAAGCATATCATCTGTGAACAAGGTTATGATCATATCGTAGAGTACAACTCTGATGAGATCATATAACATGCTTCTTGTTTCCTAATTACCAAAATCAGCATAACGCAAGATTTCATGAACTCTTACCTGAAGGTTGATCAATAATTTCTGAGAAAATGCCTCGTTAGTTAAGGTTTTTATGACCTTTTCATTTTGACTTTTCATATTTTCTGGTATAATTGGCATCACTATTGTTCAACAATATCTAGAAATTTATTAGTTACATCAATATCAAAGATTTCAACTGATATCTGATTTAATGATTTTCATGTCTTTGCCATTGAGATCAAACTCATGTTATAGTCAATGTACATGAAATGCACCAGACTCGGCCAGGACAAACAAGTACATCCCGAAAGTACAAATCAATATTTCATGACTAAAATCAATTAGAGAATTCCAACATCAGAAATGACGATTACAATAAAACTCTCTCCCTCTCTTCTATAATTCATTACTATAATGGTACAAGCCTAACTAATCCCCACAAACGAACAATGATCTAATTTACATAAATTACAGATTACATCACTAAGGCCCACCAGAACCCCCCAGCTGACCAAGCGCCACAAGTGACCTACCAGCCTCAGTTTGGCACAGGACATGTTAGCGCAAGTGATGAGGACTCCAACCAGGGATATGACCCAGGATTTGGAAAACAGGAAGCTCAGAAAAAAACTAAACTAGCTAGTTTTTTGGCAGTAAGTTTTGTTTTTGATCTATATTCACTTCAAAGATGTCGTTGTTTCTTATCATATAGTAGATACACTAAATTTGGCTCCTGTTTAATTTGGTAGATTGACGGATTGAAAAAATATGGCAGATTTAAAAACTACCAATTTCCTGATCCATTTGATTATTTTGATTTAAGCAATGCAAATTGAGATTGTTGTAGCATATTAACTGTATCTACAGTATCATATAAAGAACTTCATATTGAAATATTTTTAAATCTAGTACTGTATTTTGATATTGAGTCGCCACTTGCATATTTATATGTTGGAAAAAGAAATCCAAATAATTGTGAATCAAATATCTTTACTTTACAGGAGATAGATGCTTTAGAGGGCACCCCAGATGGGAGCCCCTCAACAACCAATGGCCAGTACAATGAAGATATTGATGGGGCCCCTATGGTGGAGGATCCGCAACCTGAAAGTGAGTATCGGTTTATATCATATGAGTTTATGATTATTAGGTATTGCTCACCTTCATTGGTGGTAAACAAAATGCAATAAAATACAATTAGGATGAATTGAAAACGTTATTTGTGAAAATCATTAATTTGAAGAAATGATGACATACACTGTGTTGTTATCTTCACCATTTTCTGTAACCAGCATTTGTTGTTTGCATTGTAACAAATGGTTACACTTTTGAAATTGCAATCAAGTTGTAACATTTTGTCATATTATATTAATGCTTTGATGAATACTAAGCAAATATTGAATGATGTATAGTGTATTATCGTATAATCTGTAAAATGAACCCGCTGATTGGTCAGTTCTTGTGCTGACCGATCTGTATTGCAACTGAGGTTGTCCCCGTTGATCATCTCCGTCGCAATACAGAAAATATTGGTACGGAGGGGACTTTCTCATATGACTAACCAAGATACAGCCATCTTTACCACATGCAAGATATTGCCCTCTTTCATCCTAAAAAGTCACACGTGTAAGATGAGATTTATTTGTGACATCACTGGTCTATAAACATCAACAACATAGCAACAAATACACCGTTGCTAAGAGTATCCATGCTCATTCTACAAAAATAAGCTGTGACGTCATAACAATGGAGCTTTGTTGCCTCGTGTATCCATGTATTTTCTACAATATTGTTATGACGTCATAACAATAGAAAGATGAAGTTCCATTTATCTGAAGCTATTTTGCACCCAATTTTGTCATGAAAACGTGAAAATAAAGCATTATACAGAGTCATTAGCCTTGCCCAAGTCGGTATTTTTTTACTTATCTGATCTTGAATTATTACCGCCTTGTACAATCCAATACATCTCCGCTGTCATTATGCTGAAATATTCAATGGTTTCGAGATTTCCATAATGCCTACGCTATCAGGGGTATCGCGAAACCTTATTGATTGACAGATATCGCGTGGACACGACGTGTGACTTCAAGCTGAATGACCAATCAAAACGTTATCTGGTTGAGCCGCATAAACAAAACAAACTTCCCATCTACGACTTGAAATGCAATGATCTGATCGAGTGTTTCGTTAGATTTACAATATATTATGTAATTAAAATGTACATTGGAAGGTAAGTACCCTGCGTGCAGAGTCTAGTTAAACTACACTCTGCCTAGTAGAGACCATATTACAGTTTAGTAGCCCCGGTGACAGTTTGGGTAATAAATCACTTTTGACCTACGCGCTGACCTTTCTTCCACCAATCAGCGAGCTCGAAGAAACATACGCTAAATGCGTTCTAGCTAAATATGCGCACGTCATTGGTCAACTCCGGGCTCAACGATGACGTCAGAAGGAATGACCATATATAGAACGTCGGTCAAATTTGGCCGACGAACACTGATTGGCGCGGTGAGTTCACAGGTTTATTTTAGTTTGAAAGAGTGAAGACGAAGCTCTCTTTTAAGAAGTGAAGTCAAACGAATGCAAAGGGTAGAAGGTAAGAGTCATTAATGTAAATTAAATCATGCGATTCAATGTTGATTTAAAACTGATTTCGCGATAAAAATGCACGAAGACCTAGTCCAATGTAGCGGGTCATGTTGTCGTCGAACGGTGATTGAATCTCAGCTTATATGTTCAGCGATCGTTTCAACGTTTATTGTTGAAATCTTCTCACCTTTGGTTATCCGATCGACATGATCGATGCCCCAGCATCCACTAAACTCTCATTGATATTTATCTGATAAAATATTTGTATTTTCATGATGAATTCGTGCTCAGATTCGTGCAAAATTTGTTCGTGAAAAGTCCCGGTGAAAAGTGTACTTGTTTTTGATCGTACATAATAATGAGCTAACGCTACAGGGCCGTCGTTGATTGGTCAAATTTTACCGACATCAACAAACTGTCGGTAAAGCACGTGGCTTTCTCTTTGGTACAAGGCGGTCATAATAGAAATCAAGATAAGTAAAAGAGACCGACTTGGGCAAGGCTACAGAGTCATATGAGAAAAACTTTCTTGTACTCGTACCTGTGCAATATCGTCTATTCTTGACTCGCTTTGATAATGTTTCTTTATCTCGTCTGCGACTCGATAAAGAAGAATTATCAAAGCTCATCAAGAATGGACGATCTTGCACAGGTACTCATACTCATATAAGAACCTCTATATCTCAGTAGTTTCAGTTTTCAGTTTAGATTTATTTCTACCCACACCTGTGAGTATAAATACATATACAATATACATGTAATACAAAATTGATACAATATCAAATGACAGTTATTCAGTTTAATCCTTTCAAAATGCATTGTAAAAATTTACTTAGTTGAATTGTATATGTTTTGTTTGTAAATAGTTCAATTAATTTATACATATTTGGCCTGTTTTGAAAGTATGGTTTTAAATATTTCTCCCTTTGATCTTTAAATAATAAGCATTCTAGTATAAAATGATATTCATCACCTAATTTGTTACAATGTTTACATATTCTTGAAAGTCTTGGTATATTATTGTACCTTCCCCTTAGGAAAAAAGTTTAGGGCATTACCCTTGGTTTACCCGAATGTAGCATTAACTTACCTTAATGTCAACCTTAATCCAAAATTACCCTCAATATTTGGGAAATTAACCTAACTTTACTCATAACTAGATGTTGGGGAATTATAAGGGTCAGTTAAGGGCTAAATATGTGTGATCTTAATATACCTAAATAAACCCCAATCGACCTTATTCTACCTTAATTAACCTCAGTTACCCTATTTTCTAGGTTACTTTATGTAATCTGCTTTTTGTCTATAAATATCATTTATCTTAAAGAACTATAGTCTACCAGTCAGATGATAAGTATATATTGTATAAGACCACTTGTATAACTAACAAAACTCTTATGAGTTGAGCTGGAAGTCTTATATAACAAATAATATTTGGCTCTTAGACTACCATGAAATGAAAATAAAAGTGACAACTACCTGATACTTATGATATATAAGATGTATCAACATGGCCAGTCTAGCCTTTTACATTATATAACATGCTGTAATCCTCCCTGGAGCTGTTTGGGAAGGCATGTGTATGGTTTATTAGTGAGACTAGAGGTCTATTATTACAGCTCAATAATATTTGACTAGAAGACACATTGTCAACTACTAATAGGTATGATTTGGTGGACTCTAAGCATGTCTTTTTGAGTCATTTTCCTCAAAAAAGTAATTACTAGTACTAGTATTTTATTTCATTGGAAATTATGTATTTTGTTAATTTTAAGCCTGATGACTTCCTCTTAAATATGTATTCAATATATGGCTGAAATCAATGTGACCCTCATTTCTGATAATAATTTATCATGATCTACCCTTGACACGAACCTCGGTAAACATTAATTGAACCTTAATTGTCCCTTAAGTCCACCTTAATTTGCCCTTAAGTGCACCTTAATTATCCCTTGAGTGCATGTATAATTTCCCTAAGTTTCCCTAATATTCCCATTGATTCACACCAGCCAACCATAACTTCCCCTATCATTTGATATTACTTATAGAAAATGGGATTCACTGACTGCTTAGGTAATTTAATGTTTTCTACTTGAACCCCTTGTTAGGAATCCCTAATACCATCACACTAGATTTGTACTCCCTTGTACTGTTTTGAGGAACCTGTATTTCTTCCAATATATGTGCTAGGGGTCTAATATTTAAAGTAGTTAAAATTTGACTAGTTGGCACAATGCAAATGAAAGCAGAAATTACAATTATTTGAAAATAATGAATTGCTTGACCTCTAAACATTCCCAATTTAAGCCCCTTGATAACTCTGGAGCCATTTCCAGAGTGGGGAATCTTTTTTCTTATTAAAGCTAGATCTCTAATATAACAAGTGAATTTTATTTGGCTTTTAGCCTATCGAGAAATTAAAATATAATGACAATAAAATGATAGTTCTGTTTTTTAAGACATTTAAATATGGCCAATCTAGCAATTCACATAGACAAGATAGTGTGATTCTCACTGGAGCTGTTTTGAGGGCCATGAATCTCTTCTGTTATTTAACCTAGATATCTTATATTACAAGTGAATTATATTTGGCTTTATGGCTGGCAAGAAATAATCAGAGAAATGACGACTTCCTGATAGTTCTGTTTTATGAGAGGCCTTAACATGGCCAATCTATAGCCATTTGCTTTGAAAACATATTGTGGTTCTCTCTGGGGCTGTTTTGAGGGCCATGTATCCCTTTCATTATCTAAGCTAGATATTTAATATAACAAGTGGTTTATATTTAGCTTAAGGTGAGCAGAAAATGAAAATAAAAATGACACAACCCAATAACTCTGTTTTGTAAGACATCTTAACATGGTCAATCAAGCCATTTAGCTTGATATTATAATGTGAATCTCTCAGGAGCTGTTTTGAAGGCAGTGTATCTCTTTTGTTATATAAGCTACATGTCTTATATTACAATTGAATTATATTTGGCTTTAGGGCTAGCAAGAATTGAAAATAAAAGTGACAATGTCCCAAAAGTTCTGTTTTGAAAGACTTCTTAACATGGCCAATCAAGCCATTTACCTTGATATTATAATGTCAATGTCTCAGGATCTGTTTTTAGGGCAGTTAAGCTAGATGTCTCGTATTACAACTGAATTATATTTGGCTTTCTTAAGAGAAAGAAATGAAAAAAGGACAACTACCCAATAGGTATGATTTGGTGGATCTCTAAGCATGGCTTTTTCGGTCATTTCCTTAATAAAATAATCATACTTACCGGTATCTCATGGTAAATTATGTATTTTGTTTATTTTAGCTAATTATTCTTAAATTTACTTCAGTCAACCATGATTTCACTTTTTTGAAACTGAATTATGAAATTCCATCAGACTTAGGCCCCCATAGATAAAGTTTGATCTATGTAAAAGGTAAATGATTTACCCTGAATTTACCCTCAAATTACCCTAAACTTTGAAGACCCCTTGTACCAAACTCATAATGTAGCTATTGATTTTTCAGTA